TGGTCTTTAAACTTGGTTCATATGAAAATTCATTGATTTCTACCTTTGGGATTTATTGGGTTTATTGGTATACATGGAATCATTTCCTGATATGATAATAAAAGGAAGAAAACTAAACTGAAAAATATATACCTTACAAAATAATTTCAAAGATCAAATCACTTTTGGAAGAAAGACTATCTCTAGCATTTTCTGAGTGAGGGTGAGCTTGATTCTGGTCTGAAGGGGTTTTGGAAATCAGCATTTTGGAGCATGAGCTAATTGTTAATGAGAAGGGCAGTATCTGCCACTACAATTGTGAATATATTTTATATCAGAGTCTGCTGTTATTCAGGATGAATTATATGTAACTTCTTACTAATTCCAACTTTTCATATCAGTCTAAAGTTTCACATTTTTAGAGGTGAAGAAACATAGATGATACCATTTTTTCTCTATTAAATCAGGGTTATGTCAGCTATCCCAAAAGACTTCTTATCTCATGTCAGAGAGAATTCTTCTGTAATGCTCCATGGTCTCTTACCTGGACAGATTAAAGTAGCACCTTCTCCCGATACCTCTTATTATTTCAGTATGAATTGTAAAATCCTTGGAAATCCAATAGCTTGTAACCTCAAATCCTTCTCAACCCTGTGAGTTCAAAGAATTAAATCAGATACTTTCTTTGAAAAATTAAAATATAAATAAATATAAAAAGAAATACAAAGAGGAAGAACCACTTTTCTGAAAGGGTGGCTTTAATAAAATGGAAATTTCTGGCTTAATCTTTTTTTTTTAAAGATTAGAAGAACAGGTTTTTGTTCTAGGTCTATAAATATTAAGGCCTCAAATATGTTTAAAATAATACCAGAAACAACTATTCCATTGTAGAATAGTTTTGGCTTTGTTGAATTCATTTAGGTAAAATTGCTAAGGGTTTGGTAATTGTTTCATAGTTCTGAACTTGGAAGGAATTTTTATAAAGGAAATATTCTCATTCATTGTGTGTTTCCAGTTGGCAGGTACTAAAGGTGTGTTACTTAAAGCTTGGAGTACTGTCTCCATATCACCAACAAGAAAATGGAGGTCCAGATAATGTATTTTGCTAAGGTCACAAACCTAGAACTAGCAATCATAGCTAGCCTACCGGAAGGCATTATTTGGGGGAAGTGTAGTCATTATTTGGGTAGCTGTGGAATGGTCTACAAGCATTTAGTAAGTTTAGGGAACTAGTGACTACTAATGAAATATTTTCATGTGGATCTCTTCAGGCTTGAAGCTAGAAACTTAAATAGAATGAAAGCGCAGACCTTGACATATCTAATCCATCCATATTTTTTTATTTCTACTTCATCCTTTTTTTAAAAAATTATTTTATTAGTGAAACACCATGAGGTACAGTTATAGACTTATAAATTTTTGTGCTTGGGTTTCAGTTATACAATGATGAAGTACCCATCCCTCCACCAGTGCCCATCCTCTACCACCACGGGTCCCAGCATCCCCCCCACCCCCCCTATCCCCTCCGTCCCACCCTGCCTCTGTGGCAGGGCATTCCCCCTTGTTCTCTGTCTTTTCTTTTGGGTACTGTGTTTTGCAAGAGAGGCATTGAGTGGCAATCATGTTTGGTCTATAGACTACTTTTATAGCATGATTCTCCCACCCTGGGAGGGTCCTCATAACACCCTTTATTTGGTTCTCTCTTCTCTATCTGAGATTCCTTTTCACTCCTAGCACGTGTGGCTGACCTTCAAGTCATGGAGCAAAATTCCTGGTACTAATCTCAGCCATTCCTGGGTGTTAGTCTCCCTTTTTATTGCTTTATGTTCCCCAGATGAATGCAGTCTTTCTGTGTCTATCCCGCTCTTTCTGACTCATTTCGCTTAACATGATACTTTCCATGTAGTACCACTTGTTTGTAAATTTCATAACTTCATCTTTTCTAACAGCTACATAGTACTCCATTGTGTAAATGTACCAAAGTTTCTTTAACCAGTCATCTGTTCTCGGGAACTCAGGTTTTTTCCAGATTCTGGCTATTGTAGGCAGAAGGAAAGAGATCATAAAACTTAGAGCAGAAATCAACGACATGGAAAACAAAGAAACAATCCGAAACATCAATGAAACCAAGAGTTGGTTCTTCGAGAAAATAAATAAGATAGATAAACCACTAAATGGATAAATTCCTGGATTCCTATCATCTCCCAAAGCTAAATCAAGAAGATATAGAGTACCTGAATAGACCTATTCACATCAAGGAAATTGAAACTGTTATCAAAAGTCTTCCCAAAAACAAAAGCCCAGGCCCAGATGGATTTACTAGCGAATTTTTCCAAACATTTAAAGAGGATCTATTGCCAGTTCTTTTCAAGCTTTTCCAGGAAATTGAAAAAACAGAAACTCTTCCAAACAGTTTCTATGAAGCCCATATCTCTCTAAATCCAAAAGGAAATAAAGACACTACAAGAAAAGAAAACTACAGACCGATATCCCTGATGAATACGGATGCGAAGATTCTCAACAAAATACCTGCCAATAGAATTCAACAACTCATCAAAAAGATCATACATCATGACCAAGTGGGATTCATCCCAGGGATGCAAGGATGGTTCAACATTCGGATATCAATCAACATAATCCATCATATCAACAAAAGAAAAGATAAAAATCACATGATCATATCAATAGATGCAGAGAAAGCATTTGACAAGATCCAGCACCCATTCATGATGAAAACCCTTGCCAAAATGGGGATAGAGGGGACTTTCCTCAATATAGTTAAAGCCATCTACCACAAACCAACAGCAAACCTCATCCTCAATGGGGAAAAACTGAGAGCCTTCCCCCTAAGGTCAGGGATGAGACAAGGATGCCCACTCTCTCCACTACTGTTCAATATAGTACTGGAAGTACTTGCAATAGCGATTAGGCAAGAAAAAGATATTAAGGGCATCCAGATAGGGAAAGAAGAAATTAAGCTCTCACTATTCGCAGATGATATGATACTATACTTAGAGAACCCTAAAACCTCTACCAAAAAACTCCTAGAAACAATAGGCTTGTATAGGAAAGTGGCAGGCTATAAAATCAATACCCAAAAATCCATGGCTTTCCTACAAGGGGTTGATATCAAGGATCTACAAGGTACTGGTTGAACTCCACAAGAAGAAATCACCCAACCCCATCAAAAAATGGGGTGAGGAAATGAACAGAAACTTTCTCAAAGAAGAAATCCAAATGGCAAAAAGACACATGAGAAAATGCTCTACATCACTAATCATCAGAGAGATGCAGATCAAAACAACAATGAGATATCATTTCACACCACAGAGACTGGCCCACATCCACAAGAACAAAAGCAACCAGTGCTGGCGCGGATGTGGTGAGAAAGGGACCCTCCTTCACTGCTGGTGGGAATTCCGGCTGGTCCAACCCTTTTGGAAAACAGTATGGACGATTCTCAAAAAATTAGAATTTGATTTCCCATTTGACCCAGCTATAGCACTCCTGGGAATATATCCCAGAGAGGCAAAAAGGTATAGTCAAAGTGACTACTTCATCCTTTTTTTTACCTCACTACTCCTCGTATAGGAAGGCATATGATTTTATTTTAGAAGTTTTCATATCTAAATGGCTAGTGCTAGAAATCATTATTTTGGAAAAATGACTTCTGAGATGCATGGCCTATTGTCACATGTATTAAGTTCAACTTAACCCCTAATAAAGGGGTTTTGTCTGTATTCCAATCACAATATACTGCACAAATCAGACCCCAAACCACCCTATCACTTGAATATTTTAACTGTATAGCAATATTTTTGTAGTTGCAGAACTTATTACTGATTTGGTTTTGTTATTTTATTTATCATGTATAAAGTGATCCTAATGAAAAAATTTTTCAGAGGTTTGGCATATCTCAAAGACTTTGGTAGTCCAACTGATTAGCACACATAAAGCTTTCATTTTGGGTACTATGTCACTGTGTTGAATCCAGATACATTTTAGCTTGGATGTGCTTATGATATTCTCTGGATATTTTAGCATCTTGGAGTTTTTCTAAATTATTGAGAAGACTGCATCATTGACTTGCCAATGTATCCACTTTGTTGGTGGCTAATGGCAAATGTGTGTGTGTATGTGTGTGTGTGTGTGAGAGAGAGAGCGACAGACAGAGAGAGAGAGAGAGAGAGAGAGGTGAGGTTGAGGTGGTGGGGGAGGAAGGTCAAGCATTTTGCAAAAATAATGTGTTCTTTAATTTTCAGATTACTCTAAATTTATTATTACACAAATAGTGTATGCTTATGTGGAAAATAATGGATAAGTTCCCAAAGGAAACAGTATTTCAAAGCTTGTTGTTACGATTTCAGGTCATAGTGTTTTGTTTGTGAATATATATTGACTTTTTCAAAACGAATCTATATAAAGTCTGAAAATTATATTTTCAGTTATATTCATTAAATGCTATTCTGTAATAGGGTTTTTTGTTTGTTTGTTTGTTTGTTTTTTGAGCCACACTCAGGAGTGCTTAGGGATCACTCATTCCTGGACGTATACATCGTGCTGGGATAAACCTGGTCAACTGCGCGCAAGGCTACTGCCTAGATCCTTGTGTTCGTTCTCCAGCCACATAATAAATTTTTTAAAACTGAAGTAAAATGGTTTTCATTGAAAGAAATTCACTGGGTAAAATGTGACGGGAGATGAAGAGTGTGCATGTTCAAGAGAGAACACAGGCTTCTCCAGAGGGGGGGGGGGGGCTGTAATTTTTTTAATCCCTCATTCCTTATGAAAGGGCAGGTACCATGCATTTGAACATTAGGTTTAAGTCAGTTTTATCTTGTAGGGTCTGACGTTTCTTCAGTTTCAGGTTGCTCCTGGGGCCCATCCCCTGGTACAAAGGGCCAAGGGCCACGTATCGCGGCTCACCTTCCCTGATGCCAACCCATGCCCGTCTCAGCAGCAAAGTGATGCAGCCTGGAGGGCAGCGGCCGACCCTCTCCTTTGGGTTTTCATTTCTGCAGGAGTTGGAGCATGCACTGCCCAGCCAGTCGGAGTGCCGGGCACGAGCAGGAATGCCCACTCAGGAGAGTCCACAGAGCCACACCTTTGGAGGCCAGGAGGCAGCGCGGCCTCGACCCAGGTAAGTCCTTGTGGCAGAAGGTGCCTGGTACCCAGGGTTTTCTTCCCGGAAATAAATGTGAGCATCCATGCCCCGCCTAGAGTCCAGGCTCTGTTGTCCAGTTCATGTCCTCCAGAGGTACAGTCCCTGCTTAGAGGAACCTGCAGTCACTGGGCCCAAGTTCAAGAGACTGCAAATCTACTTTCTCAGGCTTCAGTTAGCAGATGACCTGCCTCCAGGTTCAGAGAGAAATTCTGCCGATCCTTAGAGAATGATGCCGATTTAATTTTGTCCCTTTTGTTCTAGCCTAGAGATGAGTAGGTTTCCCACTGTGCTGATCATTAAAGATGACACAGAAAACTTCAAACCGATTGATTTTCATTTTTTTCTTTTTAAATTTATTTATTTATTTTATTTTTTTAAAAATTTTAATTATTGAGACACCATGAGGTACAGTTGTAGACTTACAGATTTTTGTGCTTGGGTTTCAATTATACAATGATTAAGTACCTTTCCCTCCACCAGTGCCCATTTTCCACCACCACGGTTCCCAGTATCCCTCCCACCCCCATCCCCCCATCCCACCCTGCCTCTGAGGCAGGGCATTCCCTTTTGTTCTCTCTCTCCTATTGGGTGTTGTAAACCGATTGATTTTCACATCTTATCTCATTTAGTCCTCATTTCCTCCTGCAGGGGTTACTCATAGCCCCAGTCTGGTGAGTACGGAGCCTGTGGCATTTACATGGAGTTGCTCAAGTGAAAAAGACTGAGCTGAAAGGTGAATCTGACATGTCTGGATGGCATGACAGATATGTCTTCCGTGCTAGTTCAAGTGGTGTCCTTAAGCCATGACGTAGCCTCAAGGCTGGCATCCCTGGGTTGCTAGACCTGGAGGAGACAGTCCTGGGTCTGGGGCCAGGATGTGGCTGGAAGGCTGCCTGCACAAGGTTGGCAAGGCATTCTTCTGGGAGCCTGGCATCACAGCTGTCTGTGGAAAGTTTCTACTGGAAATAAACAGAAGAGAAAATCCCAACCACTAGTTGTGTCAGCTGTCTTTGTAGGATCTTGTGTACAGTGTAATCATAGCCCTCCCTCTGTGGAGGGGGAGCGCTTTGCCTCTGTGCATGACCTTTAGAAAGCTTTTCTAAGGCAGCATCATCTAAATGAAACAACTCAAGAGAAGTTTGTCTGGGTTATGTAAATGTACTTTTGTATACCCAATTTGCTTTTGAAAGGTATAGTACGAAGGGTATCACAGTATTAAAAAAAATCCCTTAAAAACTGCCCCTTAAAGTAATGAATTATTGACTTTTGGTTAACTTTTGAAATTACAAGAATGCATTTGAACTTTAAAACTGAAGCTGATTTTTCAAGATATTAAAATAACTTTGATATCTTAAATATGTCCATTATACTAAATTTAGAAATAAATCATCAGAGGATTTACCCCCAAAGTAAGGGATCCTTTATCCTATTGGATTAATGGGCATCTTTCATTACCCTCCTATGAGTGTCCATTTCTTGTTTGTTTCATCTTACCTGAACCTAGAATAGTTGAACTAAACCTTGTCATTTCTCTGCTGATCAGAACATCTTGTTTCATATTTGATCACAGTAATATATCTTTTGTAGACTGACTAGAATTGGTTTAGTCTATGATATCAAGTCATACTACATGCTATGTTCCTATGTATATTGCAAAGTAACTTTTAAAAATTGGATAGCATAGTGGTAGGGCGTTTGCCTTACAAGCAGCCAACATGGCCGACCCAAGTTGGATTCCTCCACCCCTCTCGGAGAGCCCGGCAAGCTACCGAGAGTATCTCGCCCGCATGGCAGAGCCTGGCAAGCTACCTGTGATGTATTCAATATGCCAAACACAATAACAACAAGTATCATGATGGAGACGTTACTGGGCCCGCTCAAGCAAATCGATGAACAACGGGAGGACCATGACCTGTGTGGTACTGATAAGTGGTACAGTAAAGCCTTTGGCTTGTATGTGGCTGACCTGAGTTTGATCCCCACAACCTGATATGATTCTTCCCATCTCAGTACAACCAGAACTCCTGGTTCTGAATGTAGAACCAGAAATAACCCCTGAATATCACTGGGTATGGCCCAAAAAACAAACAAAAAAACTCCTGTAAAAATCTTATTTGCATATGGAAAACATTGTAACCCTTTGAAGTGGATATGACACAGTGGCAGACAAAGAAAAATGTTTGTGAGTGCCGGAGTAAAGTTCAGTGGGTAAGGTGTTTGTCTTGCACACAGCTAACCCAGGTTCAATCCCCGGCATCCAATATACTCAAGCACAGCCAGGAGTAATTTCTGAGTGCAGAGCCAGGAGTAACCCCTGAGCATCACTGGGTATGACCCAAAAAACAAACAAACAAAAAGAAGGAAAAAAGAAAAAAAGAAATATTAGCAATTAACTTTCTTAAAGTTGATTGATATTTGGTAGACTTAATAAACTTTTATATCCCATCTATGTTGGGGAAGGTAATTGATTCTTTTATTATTAACTGAGGGCAGATCAGAAATCTTACAAAATTCTTTTTGGGATCACTTCTATGAGTACTAAAGAGTTCAGAGTATTAAGTAATCCCGAGAAGAAAAAAAATCAGAGTAATTCTTATATTTGGGGATGGAGAGTTGCAACTTTATCAGAGATCTAGCCCTCTTTTGGAATTTCTCTTCCCAAACATAAATGTTTGTGTAAAATTTTAGGAGTTATTGTTTTTCTGCTTTTAATTTTTTTCCCCCTACATGTCAGGGTAAGGAGCCAAGCATTGGCTCATACATCCTCATTAAGTTTGTCTCCCCAAATAGGTAAAATAACGATCTGTTTTCTCTTCCTCTTCTTATTTTTTATTATTGATTTTGTGTTATTTTGTGTGTATGTGTTTGTGTGTGTGGTTTGGCATCACACTTGGCGAGGCTCAGGGATTACACCTGATGATGGCTCAGGGAACCAGATGGGATGCCAGTAATCAATGTTGGGTCATCCACATGCAAGGCAAATGCCCTATGCACTGTACTGTGTCTCCAGTACAGGAGAGGTTTTCCTCTCCTGTACTGGAGCAGGTCTTCCTCTCAGACCTTCTTCCCTAACCCCAAATTCCTTGTCCTTTCCTCCTTTTCCCCTTTAGACTCTTATGTTTTACAGGCACAGTTTTTTTTTCTAGCAGTGTTTTATTACCCCGCAAAGTAGTGCTCAGCATGTGTTAAGTTTAGATCAAGAGTTCATGAGGTCAAAGCAGTAGCACAGCAGGTAGGGCGTTTGCCTTACACACGGCCGACCCGGGTTCAATTTCTGGTATCCCATATGGTCCCCAAAGCACTGCCAGGAGTATCTTTGAGTTCAAAGCCAGGAGTAACCCCTGTGCATCGCTGGGTGTGACTCGAAAAGCAATAAATAAATAAATAAAAGGAAAAAGAGTTCAAAAGTGACATTAGGTCTGTTATGCCTGGTGCTGTTCGGATGAGTATTTAGATTGGACTGGTAACCTTCAGGCTCTAGAGTTATTTTTCACAACCATGACTACCAGTTGTCTTTAAAACAGATTACTATATGGATTGTGAAATTTGATGAACTGGTGAAATGAGATATGAAGTTAAAAACTACTTTGAGTCAGGCAGCTCAGATTTCTGATAATACTTGCTTTCTGTTTCAAGCCAGGATATTGCCAGATTCCAACACAATATGCTGGATCTTGATAGAGACATGATATTAAAATAGATCATCAGACCTAAGTGTGTCATAGTGAGGGGAAGAATCAAGCTAAATCTTAACTGGTGTAAAAGGACACCTCTTTTGTCAGTGTAGGTTGGAGGGGTGGTTGGTGGTCATCAATGCCATTATTTTAATGAACGAGTCTAGAAAGGGAAGAAAAAGCTTTCTGCAATAAGGAGCTGTCATTGGGTTAAGTGTTTTTAGATGAGACATGATTTGAGTTAGTCATCAAAGATCAAATCTATCCTTATAGAAATGGAATTTTGGAATAGTTTGTGTCATGGGATGACCATACCAAGAAGTTGTTTTATAACTTCAGCTCTTGGAGCATATTTTCTCTTTTATATCTCTAGATATTTCTATCACAAGAAGGCTTTTGCTATGTCTCTGGATTAACTCCCAAAGTTAATGTTACATAGACATTGTTTTATTGCTACTCTAACAAACGACTACAAATCTGTGAATTAAAATTAATTTTCTTTTTTGGGGGGGACCTGGATCACACTCAGCTGTGCTGAGGGCTTCAACTCAGGTTGGCCACATGCAAGACATGAGTCTTAATGTGTTTTCTATCTCTCTGACTCCACAAATTATCTTTTTTATAGTTCTGTAAAATGCTGAACATGAATCTAACTGGTCTAAAATCACCATATCAGTCCTACATTCCTTTCTGAAGGTTCTTGGGGAAATGGTTTATTTCTCATCCTTTTCAGTATCAAGAGGTTAAAAGTAAAGTAAAGGCCCTCCTGTTGATCATCGATTTGCTCGAGCGGGCCCAGTAACGTCTCCATTGGAGACTTTGTTGTTACTGTGTCTGGCATATCAAATACATCACGGGGAGGTTGCCAGGCTCTGTTGTGCCGGCGAGGTACTCTCGGTAGCTTGCTGGGCTCTCCAAGAGGAGCGGAGGAATCGAACTCGGGTTGGCCATGTTGGCTCCATGCAAGGCAAAAGCCCTACCACTGTGCTATCATTAGTGGTAGTAACAAAATACTAGCGAATATAATTCAACAATTCATTAAAAAGATCACACACCGTGACCAAGCATCCCACATGGTACCCCCAAGCACAACCAGGACTAATTCCTGAGTGCAGAGCCAGGAAGGAATAGCCCCTGAGCATTGGCAGGTGTGACCCAAAAGCCTATGAAAAAGAAAAATTTTTAATAAGTAAGGACAGGGGCTGGAGCGATAGCACAGCAGTAGGGCGTTTGCCTTGCACGCAGCCAACATGGCCGACCCGAGTTCGATTCCTCCGCCCCTCTCGGAGAGCCTGGCAAGCT